AAAAAAAAATTTTTTAAAGCTTTATTTTTAATTAAGATATTAAATACTTGACAATTTATTACATATAGATTGCTTTAAAAAAAAACATGCCTCCAAAAATTCATTTAATGATTTCTGACATCTCTGAAGCTGATCAAGTATCGTTAGTAGAGCATTTCTGATTCCTGCATGAGTAGTTAATGTTGTGACTCTATTATCTTTCTTGATGTCAGCCATTATTGATCTACAAAAGAACAATTATTTTCACATGTATTAACAGTTTTGCAGCTGAAAGAGATTAAGATATCTAAGTTTTTCATCTGCTTCAAATAAATTGAGGAAACACGATTATTAACACTTAATAAATTATGCTAAAAATTAATGTCGCAGTATGATTCTTCTCTTTTCACATTATAATTTCTCATGTATCATTTGTTCATCAAACATATTAAGTCCTAACTCAAAGAATGATCTGATGACAGAGAAAGAAATTTAATAGTTTTTTACATATTTAAATAAAGCTAGGCATGGTACAGCACCCCTACAATCCCAGCTGCTGAGGAGATTGAGGCAGGAGGATTGCACACTCAAGGCCAGCCTGCGAAATTTAGCAACATGCTGTCTCAAAATAAGATTATTAAAACAGCAGAGATATAGTTCAGTGGCTGAGCACTTGCCTGCACATGCAACACTCTGGGTTCAATCCTCAGTACCACTCACACATATACACATGAGAGAGAGCGAGGGAGAGAGAGAGAGAGAGAGAGGGAGATGGACGCATGATATTAAGAAGGTAAAGTACAAAGTTTCGTTAAGGTGGATAATAAAACATAACTTATGACTTCTTTAAATGACTGGAATGAAAAAAAAGGAGAGAGAGCTTTGCAGAAGGTCCAAAGAAAAGAGACTACGTACAGAGATGAACAAGCACTTCACAATCTGAATAAGATGCTGCCATATGTGTCAAGGTTTTATGTAGTTGTACTAACCTAAAATCTTCATCAACTCTGTTGAAACGTGTCTGTTCTTTTGGCAATGCTCCACGGCCAAAAATGGGCTCCAAATATACCCACTTTCTCTGAATATGATTTAAATTTTGCAAGTACTCATCCAGCTCTGCAAGTTTTCTTTCCCAAATTGACACTTTATCTTCAAATCCTTTATAATATGGAGAATCCTTTAAGGACTGAAGAAGGCATCTATTATCTCCAACCTGGTTTACTATATCTTTCCAGTCTTTAATCAGCTTGATAGTTCGACTCTGGCTGTCTTCATAGTCAGTCAGCGTGAACACTGCTCCAACTCCCCAAAGATCGAGTTCACGTAAAGCTTCTCTGATTGTAACCTCCCCCTGTGCACGACTATTTAAATCCTGTGTAACACAGAATATCCACACTTACTATTTCAAACTAACTGTCATGTAAATTATTAAAATGTACTTTACAAGAATATACTTTTGTATGGATTTTTACCATAAGGCAAAAAAATGAAGTGAATATATTTTACATGTAATCCAAAAACAACTGGCTATCATATCAAGATATATCAGGTATTAAGTATTCACATTCATATGAACACACAAATCTCTCCTTTATGCTTTTTACGTCTATAAAAGAAAAACAGAAAATTCGAGAGAAAACTAGTCTGGCTTATTTCAAGTCTTGGAGATCAAAAGTCTAATATTTGGGAGAATGCAACTACAGAAATGTTATTGTAATCTTACTGTAGATTCTGATTTATCTGAAAGGATTAACAGTAAACCTTTACACCTTCTCATGATTATCAAACATGTTCCAGGATTACTGACAAACACATAGGTTTACCTTTGGATAGAAAATAAAACAACATGGCATCATGAGTCACATTTTTATAATAAATGGCCAGAATACAACAGTGTTTGCCACTTACAAAAGTATTGTGACAACTTTCACAATTACCTATGGCCTTTGCTAAATCTGATTAATAAACAAGGTATTCGCTTAGATTTTTGTATCCTTTACCTTCAATTTGTAACATACCATATGATTTAAATGCACTATGTAAAATGATTTCTAGCTTTTTACTGTAGCTGACATCCTTCTTAAAGGAAAAATTTTATTGCATATTTTTCCCTCACAAAGAATGGTTTCAGTATATTATTGTTCCCATAAGCCCGCTAACAGTACTAGATTGATTTAGATGCATCACTCATGAAAGAATGGAATAATACATTATTACAATTTTAAGAGAAGAAAAAGTCTGACTTTTATTTAAACAACAGAATACGAAGCAAAACTGTATCAACAAAGGTCAGCATTAAGGGATATTTATAAAAATATTCTCACTTTAAGGTCTGAAGCTTTGATTACAATTGCATCTGCTACTTTGAGCAAATCACCAAACAGTAGTTTCTCCAGACTCGTCCCTCTAGGAAGTCCCAGCAGACGGAAAAGGTCAAGCCAGTGATCCGGAGAAAGATGCTCCCCTCTCACGTATTTCAAGATAGGAATTACAATCTGTGTAAAAGAAAAAGAAAAGGTGTATATTCACATACGTAAACCACACATTATAATCTCATGGTTATTAGCACTCAAAATTTTTCTCTATTATCTTATTTAACAATTGTGAAATCACATTTTTAAACAGAATTATAGGAAAGTTTTTATTAAACATTGCTATAAATATATACAAATTTTCCCTTGCACTTTTATATATTTTAAAACGTGAAAGAATATTTCTATTTTAGGATACAACCCATGCTGCACTAGGATCTATAAATACTCTATAATATTATCCATTAATTTCTTAGTTATAATTTTTCAACTGACAGCAAAAATATCTGTAATTTCTAGACTTACTTTATATTTCTGATGTTTTATATAACGAAATAATTTTTTTGGTTCTTTGGGTTTGTTTGTTTCTGAGACAGGGTCTCGTTATGTAGTTCAGCCTGGCCTTGAACTCACTATATGGCCCAGGCTGGCTTCGAACTCGCAGTGCTCTTCCTGCCTCCACCACCCAAGCGCTGAGGTTAAGGCAGGCACCACTACACCTGGCTTATAATAATTTAACCAAAAACATATAAATTAAAATTACGCTTCAGTTACCAAATGAGAAAAAGGTTAATGAAAGCTTCAAATACATTTTAACTAACAGAATAAACTAAAACGATCTTACTTTATATTTGTCAACTTCTGCTTGTAATTTCACTGTCATAACTGAATGTTCTTCAACCTTCCTTAATTTTTCATGCCAATTCATCAAAAATTCCTCAAATAGATAAGTCTTTGTCCTATAAAATAACAAAAAAACACCCTGAAGTTCACATACACAGAAAATATCAAATTATAAGGAACTATGTATTAATATTGTTTCTGAATCAAACCGAAAGGTAATCCAATCTTCGTTGGCCATTTCCTGAAATCCTTGTTGAAACTCTTCATAAAGCGCCCAAATTTGTGCACAGCTCTCAATGTCTTTAGAGATGGTACTTGCTAGAGAGAAGTTAGGCTCCTCTAGTCCGAAATGATGACAATCGTCACTGCCAAAACAAATATTAAAATATTTATAGTTGTAAAAAGAACAACTGTTAAATATCAAGTCATTTGAACAAACTTTGACTATATATTTGCATGGCTATAAGCATTCGTGTATGCATATAACTAGTGAAAGTACAGTAGAAGATGAAATAATTTACAAGAGAATTTTATGACTTAAATAATGGACATTTTTTCAAAAGGAGCAAACATGGAGTTGGTAATGCATACATGGATATTTCTGTGTAAATCATATATATATGAATGTTCATGATTTTAATAAATCTATAAATTGATATAAGAATAGTCTCAGTCAAATATAAGATGTTTTTCAATTAATCATGATAATGCCACTTAATAAGGACAGTACTAAAATCTCTACTCATCTATGAATTATTTTACTGATACATTCACCTAATTAGATCAAACCTAAAATACTTCTCAAATCTAGTATCTTATATACTTTTTTTTTTTTTTTTTGGTACCGGGGATTGAACTCAGGACCTTATGTTTGCCAAGCAGGCGCTTACGCCACTGAGCTAAATCCCTGGTCCCTAGTATCTTATATTATTATAAGATAAATAACAACCTCCCTTTTTTCCCTGGAGGACTTATTACTTATTTTTCTACATTCATTTTTCTCAAAGAGGCATTAAAAATATTTTCCCCAAATGTTTTATATATTCCATTTTAAACAGAATGAGATCATGAAACATATCCCAACTTCTGAACATAACTTATATATAAATTTAATTTTTATCTTATTTTAAAGTCTTCCTTGAAATTTGCTCTAATATTCCAACAACTCATAAGAAAGTACTAATGTGGACATATACATGTATTATTTGTATTTCAAAACTACTAAAGTTTATGAAGGGAGGTATTAAGACAGTAGATATAAGAAAATTACTAGCTTAATATAAACAAAATTTATTTTTCTAATGAACATGAACAATTTTAAAGAAAAAAACATACACTAGCTTTTTCCTTATGACTTCAAGGTCATCAAACTCAATTTTCTTCTCTTTTATTAACTTTGCATTTTTTTCAAGAGAATTATGTTGGCTGGTTTCAATGACATCATCACCAGGTTTCAGTTGGTCCCAACGAGCTTTAAATTTTTCCAGTTCCTGATAATACATCTGAAGACGTGATTTCACATTTCCTTTCATCACTTCAATCTACAAGCCAAAAAGTTCAAATAATTTAATGCACAGTAAAGTTGCACTTAACTTTTGCATTTTCATTTCTAATGTTTTCTGTTTAAAAGTGAAAAAAATTAACATGAACTTTCCAAAGGTTTACATCTTCATTACTGATTTAACCACATAAGGTTAAATTCATACTCAACTATCAACATTAAACAATGAATTCTCGTGATTAACAGCACCCGAGACAATTATCAACGAAAGTGATATAGTTTTTAAAAAGTGATAGAAGACTGATGGCTGTTTTATCTGAGTATACAGCCGCTTAATTAAGGAAAGCATTTCCGAGTCCTCCACGCAGCCGACAGTTATAGACTAACTTCCGGTAAACAGGGTACGAGTGCAGCATATGTGTACAGTCTCCGGGCTGCATCTTAAAAGACAGACGGTTCCCCCTTCTCTTTCCCTCTTCCCCTCCACTGCTAGGTAGGAAGCGAATGTGGTGGTGACCCATCTGGGACAGTACCCTAGAGAGGCTGAGAAATTAAACTGAAGAAATCTAGGCCTCAGACAAGGTTATGGAGCAAAGGTATTATTTCACCTTGCAATCTAACTTGAGAAAGAAACTTGAGCTTTAAGTTTTAGAGTGTCCACTGGAATAGTCAAACTGACAGCTTAATAAATGTAGTAATAAAAAAAGAACATGAGTTTCAGAAATCACCTTCAGACCTATATAGTAAACAAATTAATTCATAATACTTTATGAAAATAAATTATATTTTAAAGTGACTATTTTCTTCTTTGGGTATGGTAGAAAATAAAGACAAACCACGTGAGGTATCATTTTAATAAAATAATTAAAAGTTTCATACCTGGTCTTTAATCATAAGTTGATGACTTTCCATCATTAACTCAAATTTATCCCATTTGGCTTTCAGATTACTAATTGTTTCTAACCCTCCACCTGCCACAGTTCGTAAAAGTTTGTTTTTATCTTCAGCTTCTTGAAATAACGGCAAAATCTAAAAGTTAAAAGAGTGTGACAAATTATTTTCTCTAGTCTTTTAAGATTTCATTTATTTTAATTTTTGCTTCATAACTTGCTTCTCCAAACTCACGATTTTTGCTTTTAAGTAATTTGCTAAAATCCTAGATATAAAATTTCTAATGCTTACTTATACAGAAGGTCAACTAAGACAATCTAACATCAGAAGTTAACAAGGGTAATAACAATAGTAATAAGAGTTTGAGCAAAACCATGACTCCATAAAGACAGTAACTATAGCTGTTCAAAGTAAAATCCTCATTATAAATGTTCCATTCATCAGAAAGTGCTAAAGAATGTCTTAAGAGAGTAAGATTAGTGATTATAAGAGCACAAGTTAAAAAAAAATACCCCACTTTGTAGAGAAGACAATGTCACAAAAAAGCACTCACGAAAGGGACAGCTGAACAAGTGAAATCAAGCTCCTGTCCTCGGACTTTCTAACTGAAATGTACTGAGCTGCGCATTGTAAGCAGTTTGTTAAACAATCTGAATGAAGCTCAGTATGCACTAAATTACCTGAGTTACTTCTAAGTTTTTTAAAGCACTGTAAAACACTGTCCTGTAATTAATACCTGTACTTTTATCGCTCAAAGCAATAATATCCATTGAAAGCCTTTTAAATACCACTGTGGGTATATGACAAAACGGACAACAGAAGAAATTCAAATATGTATCTCAATGATCCCTGGGCAGAATCATTTCCATCTAAGAAACAGAGAAAAGCCAACGGTCCAAGAAGCCTTCCGGTACTAGGAGAATTATACAAGAACAATGAAGTAAGATTTGAATTCCTTTCACGAGATCAGAATTTAACAAGGGTAATGATAATAGTAATGTGAGCTTGAGTGAAACTGTGAATCCATAAAGACAGTAACTAGGTTAGCCTGTCAAGACATTACAACAGCTTCCTGACCTACCCGTTTCTAGTACTACAGAGAGACATACCAAAGCAGAATTCTATGACATTTTGCTGCATCTGGCTACATAAAACACAACAATGTGTCCTCACTGCCCACAAAATACAGCATATGATCCTTAATGTGGCTCACGGGACCGAGCTTGAACTAATTCTCACGCTACTTCCTACCTAGTACATCACCTGCTTGCTGTTTCCAGCAAACATTATCTCTAGTTCTCATCTTAGCTGTTGTGATGTTACAATCTTTCCTCCCCCTTCATTCTCAGTCTTCTTTGCTTCCTCTTCCTATGCCTGAACTCTGCTTTTCACACAATTCAATCTTTGTCCTACACCTGCTACTGTTTGTTAAATACTGGATGATCTCAGCCAGCACTGTTATCAGGGATAGAAAGACGACTTCCGAAGTTATCTCTCTAGATCTCACATTTACTCCAAATTCAACTTCTCCCAGTCATCTCAGCATCCACTACATCCCAACTCTAATCTGTCCTCCAGCCCTCTTCATCTCAGGTAAAGGCATAAATTCCTCCTGCCCAGCTAGTGAAACCAAAATCCTAGGAAACACTTTGATTTCTCTTTCTCTAACCCTCTCGACCTAATGTATCAGAAGACCTTCTTAGTTCTAACTATAAAATATGTCATCAACCTCTCCAGTTCTATCCCCACTGCTACTACAGGGTACAAGTTTTCATCAGCTTTCATCTGCCATATTACAATATCCAACTAATTGATTCAAAATATAAAGTGATCTCACCACATAAAATTAGAACATAAATTAAAAATAATAATAAGAGATAATACAACTATCCAACTAACTGACTTCCCTGCTATAGTCCCTGAAATCTCTTCTTCACAGAGCGGCCAGAGTCATCACTTCAGAGTGGAAGCTAACTATGTCCCTCCTCTCCTGGACATGATGGAAAGACGTCTATTACACTTAGGAAAAAACCAAAGTCATCAATGTCTAAAAGTCCCTTCAGAATCAGGCCCTTGCCTACCTTTCCAATTTTACCTAATACTATTTTGTTCGTTGAATACTATGCTTTCTTCATAACAAACTTTCATGGTAATATTAGAGCTTAACTAACTGCTTCTTGGCATAACAAACCCCTCCTCTACCTTGTGATCTTTACAGACTGAGGGTGCTGATCAGTGATTTTAAGTTGCTCTTAAAATATTTCCCATGATAAACACACCCTGAAGAACATCCTGTCCTCTAATTTAGCACAGAAGTTCTTTAGTTCTCTTACCACCCCTCCTCTTAACACACAGACAGATACACACACACACACACACACACACACACACAAGCATATTCCATGAGAATAAAGCATGTTCACAGATGTATATCCAACTCCTAGCACAATGCCTGAAATATAGCTGATGATCTATAAATAGCAGCTAAAGGAATAAATAAATGAATACCTCTGTGCATCTAACTGCCATAACACAAAATTATTCCTTCAATTAATTTCTTCTACCAGAAAAGTACATTATTGTATTCACCTTCAAATCTTCTTTTGTACCTTTAAGCCTATCATGTAAAAGTTTGTCATTCCTTCCACCAGGAGGTATATTTTTTCACTGTTAAATTGTCTTTATAACTTTAACTGCATCGCATAGTGAAGACACATAAAAATTTATGTACTGATTTGAATGATTACTCCTTCTTGTTCTAAGAATAATTAAAGTCATCTATAATATATTTTATAAAGTTTTGGCTTGTGCTTCTCACTTCAGCAGCACACATACTAAAAAAATTTTTAGCTTGCTTATTCTAGGTGACAGCCTGAGGGCTACTGTTTTTTAATAAGCTTTTAGCATTCTTTCACCTTCGTCTTTAATTATGAACTTTTTCATTATGCATATGTATACTCAATGCAGCTCTAACTTCATAATTTAGCATCATACAATTAGAATTTTGAAGGTAACAGCATTATTTGTTTGCTCATATTCTGATATATCATAAAATAGACTTCAAAGAACAATACAAAGCATTAACATTAGTGTTTTATTAAACCATCACTGAATCGAGAGGCCAGCCAGAGCTAATGAGTTGGACCAGATTAAACAGACCTCCTTTTGGGTTGAGATTATATTACATAATCACATAGAATTCCCTAATTCAAATATCTCCAGTTCAATAAAAATAATAACCACCTCACTTTATGACTCTCACCTCTGGCTTCCATTCTTGCAGCTTAGCATACTGTAAATTTGCATCACCTATTTCTTCCACAGACTGGGGTATAACTGTTAAGACTTCCATAGCCTCAGTAACAAATGTATCAATTTCATGTAAATGAGCTGAATAGTAACGGGGAATAAGAAACATTATTATTATTATCCAAAAACATTTATTCACATAATTTCTAAGTGAAAAAGTATTAGAAATAATCCCTACATAAAATACATTAAATCCTAGAATATAATTCACTCTCATACAACAAAATTTCAAAATATTGAATAGTGAAAAATTTCTTTCCATGAAAGTTTACTAGTTTCCCATTGTGCTTAGAAGTTCTCAGAAAAAAGTAAAATATAATCATTCTTAGTAAGCTTTACTAAAAATTAAGTTTTTTCGATTTTCTTAATATGTTAAAATATTTAATTGTGTCATTTAAAGAGATGTGAAATGGATTATGCCAGAATTACCTACATTTCTCAGTAACATACAATAAAATGAAACAAGTTCAAACTCCAAATACAGATGTCTCCAGATTTTATATCTCATAAGAATGGATGAGAGCTTTCTTACTTTTAAAAATTATCATTTTGAGCAAATTTTATTTCATAATACTGTCTAGCTCAGTTTCAATTTTTAATCATCATTGAAATTCATATTTTATAACGACCAAAGTACATGCCTCTACATAAAAAATGAAGTAAAAATTAAAATGAAGGTCTCTTTACCTTGGATAGACTTCTTCAAAGAAAGAACAAGGATATCAAATAACTTCTGTATGAGATCATCAATCACAGTCTTCACAGGGTTGCAATTAATGTTTAAACAATCCACCATGACAGTACTAAAAAATGTCAATGACATATTTAACATGAAAAACTCTCATTATATTGTAAAGACTTTGTATAAAATCAAAATTTATATAGAAAGTATTACTGTGATATTTATTTATTTATTTATTAAGACAGGGTCTTATTCTGTAGTGCAGGCTGCCTTGAATTCACTTATATAGCCCAGGCTGACCTTAAACTTACAGCAATCCTCCTGCCTCAACCTCCTGAGTGCTGGGATTACAGGTGTGCACCACTATTCCCAGCTTACTGCGATCTTTAAACACATCCAGATTTTGCATTTAATTTAGCAAAAGTGCCTTACACATACTATTTCAAAGGTTTTTTTTGTTGAACAATGTAAATATAACAATAACTTTTTATCATCCCCACATATATCAATTTTTACAAAAGCCTATTATAAATTATTAAAGAATTGGCGGAATATATTAAAATATTTATACATTTTGTCATAGCATAGAATATACTTATTTAAGTAGTTATAAGATAAATTCAGTATTCTGCAGCCAAAACACAAATATTTGAGTAAATGAATGAACGAAGGCAACGTTACCTTTTATAGCTGACACATGCGCTATTACACAAGGCTTTTCATGTAAAGTACTACTAATAGTGGCTCCAGTGTAAAAATGTCAAATAGCAAGGGAGATAAATTCTCAAGTAGCTAGGCTATGCAACACCCTTCAGAGGCTTTGGTCTACATACAGAGCAATACACAGATGCAGCACTTCATTGTATGCCTCGCAGGGCATTCGGAAAGGAAGCAGAGTAGTACAAAAGCAGAGTTAAACAGCACTAGCATTATATTCTCTGGTATGTTCTCACCAGTAGCTTCTGACCATAACCAGACTGCACTAATGCACAGCAAATAATAGCTTCTCATACCAGGGCTTAATAGAAGCGTCATCCTCCAATTTGTTCTACCCAACTAAATCTCAGCCAGCACCTCTAGAAAGGAAATGTCTTTCATCCCTATCCAGACGATGCTCAAATGTCACAGCTGAGATCTACAGAAGTGAAGAATTTCATTTCAATACAATTAAGTGGAGAATACCCTTACTATCCATGTCAAAAACTACTGAAGTATGGTTCAGCAGTGTTACATTAACCACCAATACCTCGGAAGTCGTTCTACTTCTTTCCCCTTTATTTTCAATGCTTTAAAATTTTTCTCCCAATCGTGCACAGTAAAAAGATGCTTTTCCACCAGAGCTTCCATGTCAACTTGCCCAATCATAATCCATTCCTATTTAAAGAATGAAAAACATATTATTAGAGAAACAGAACTAATAAATTGCTATCAAAAAGTTTAGAGTCCAACTATTTGGACCAAAAAAGAAGAGGAAAATGTACAGTAGTGAGGTGAATGTTGATTTAAATAAGTAAATGTACTCATTACTGCATAGCCTAAAAAAGTCAGGAAAAAAAGGATTTAGTATGAAAATATAGTAATCATAAACTTTAAAAAGAGAATAAAACTCTTTCTTTAGATTATCTTGTTAAAGTAGATGTACATAAAATACTGAGATAGAATCACTTCTCCAATGCCAAACTCACTGTGACAAGCTACAGATCTGAAAGTATCCAGATTTACCCAGTGGAGTCTAGAAATCTAAAATGTACAAGCACTGCGGTGTCAGTTAAGGAAATGAACACATTTTCAGTCATATGTCTCAGGATCAGTACAAATGAGCAGTGAAATTAGGCTGTCTGTAGTATTTGGAATTACTTGCATGATGCGCTTAAAGCAGTACGGAACAGCCACGCTCCACTCAGTGACACCACATATACAGTGCTAGCTCTACCACACAGCCAGGTGCACAGCCAGCTTCCCATCTCAGTGTGCGTGAGCACACTCTACGACACTGGGGGCGAACCTATGGCACGTGCCACAGTGGCCTGTTTGTTATCCCTGAGAGCTCTAAAAGGTTCGCCATCACTGCTCTATGACATGCACACACATAACATTTTTCAGATTATAACCAACTCATTAAGCAACATGAGAATGTCTACATATCACCCTGAATTCATTAAAATTTGAGCACTTCCCCTCAAAATACATTTTCTTCAGGAGAATTAAAGCTGACAACAGTGGCCAGGCATGGGGGAGCACATTTGTAGTCCCAGCACTTAAGAAGCTGATGCGGAAGGATTGCCACAAATTTGAGGCCAGCCTGGGCTACATAGTGAGTTTAAGGCCAGCTTGAACTACATAGTGAGACCTGGTCTCAAAAACAGAAAGAAAAATGACAATAGTCATAGCACATTCTAAGTTGACACAATAAGAAAACAACTTTTAGTCTCTTTCACGAAATAATCAAAGACAAAAACTTTTTTTCATCTGCAGCATAAATTTCATTATGTAAGAATCCACAAATTGGGCTTTCTGGTCTACCAAGTTTTAATCATATGCCAAATAAAATAAACTATTAATGTGACATTTGATGTTGATTTAATCAGTTGAAATTTTATGAAAGAAAGGAAATCATACTCTGTACCTTATGTTGATGTAAAACAGCTGACAGTCTTCTAAACAAGTCTTCTGCTTTGCTGTAAATAGTCAGAAATCCACTTGCGTTTCTATCAATCATAACAGAAAAAATAGACTCATCGCCTGCCTCACCTACTCCTCTAAACTGATTTGGAATGCTGATAAATCTCTTCATTTCTCTATAATATTTAGCCCGAATTTCTTCAAAAGGGGGTCGGAATTGTAACCGTCCCTGTCTGAAAATAAAATATGAATTTAATTTTATTTAGAAATTTATATAGTTTAATTGCATACTTAATTTAAAATATACATTATTTTAAAATTATGAATTGAAAATTAAACTGGGATATTAAAACACCTTACTTGTAAGTTAAGTCAATATTTATTTCCGGCAGATTCTCATTAAGCGCCTCTAAGCCCATCTGATACTGATGCTCCAGAGCTTTGTACAGCTGATGGTTCCAGTGCTGCTTCCATGCACGCATATCGCTTGCTTGGAATCCCTAATGTGTTACATTCACATATTTTTTATTTAAAAATTAGGTGGTAAAATCAATTTTTCATTTAACAATTTCATATCATATAAAGTATAAGTAAAAAAACTCATTTTAAATATTCTGAAACATGCAACTCTTTGTCACTTTCAGTAAATTTATAGAGTCAAATAGAAAAAGATCTAATCAGCAATACTTACAAATAGTGCATAAAGCAATAATATTAGAAAATTAAACTAGTATTAAATGGATTTTGTATTTGGACTTTATAATGCAGTAAAACAAAGCATGGTTTGTTTTATAAATTTTATACTCATTTTTCAAAAATTCCCACGAGGTATGGCATTCACATTCCACTAAGATCCCATTACCACCTACACATGGTAGGCTTCGTGTTACTACTTCTATGTACACCCTGTTCTATGTCAAAATGTGAATAAAACTAAAATTTTACTGCCCTTCCAAAAATAGGGAAAAGTTCTGACAGTTATTTTTGTTTTGTTTTGTTTTGTTTTTCTCCGATACCTGGAACCGAACTCACGACCTTGCGCTTGCCAGGCAGGTGCTTTTGCCGCTGAGCTAAATCCCCAGCCCCCTCTGACAGTTATTTTTATCGCTAGTCTTCCACTCCACTTCCTAAATGATTCACTGGATATTTTAAACATAAGAACTTTAAAATATTAGAATGCTGCGATGATTTAAAATGTGCCCCAAAGTCTCATGCTCTGGTAAGTGGGCCTTCTGGGAGGAGACTGATCATGGCTGTGTGACGCTCATCACTGGCTCAGTCCCCTGACGGGTTCACAGCCGGCTGTGACACTGGGAGGAGACCCTGGCGGGAAGAAGCAGGTCACTGTGGGCGTGGCCTGGGAGGGTGTGCCGCATACGGCACATTCTTCTTCCTCCCTTGCCTCTGCTTCCCTCCAGCACGACTGGAGCCGTTTCTTTCCGCCATGCCCCGCTGACATGTCACCGTGTCTCAGAGCCAGCAGACTACAGGGTGGCATCTCTACAATCTGTGAGCCAAAGGACCCTTTCCGCCTAAGAACCGTGGATTTTGGGCATTGTGTCCCAGGGACAAGAAAGTATTTTCAGCGGCACAGATAGTTTACCTACTGTTTTGCTTCTATACACCTAGTATTTTTGTTTTTGTCTCAAAGTTCTAAAATACTAAAAAATACATATTCAACTATGATTCAACAGCTAACACATATTCAGCTGTGATTCTGTCACCACCCACTGCATAGCAGGCTCTATGCCACCACCGCATGGACACCATGTCTTATGTCAAAATGTGAGTAAAACTGAAATGTTAATGCCTTCTCCAGAAAAGGAAACAATTCTCACATAAAGTTACTTCTATTCCTAGTCTTCTTCCTCAACTTAACTTTGTGTTCTATACATGTCACAGTTAAAGAGAATTAACAAACAATAGATATTCAATACCAAGGCGGAAACACTACTAACTGTACAATGGGAAATTTAGCATTCTGTGAAGCAAACTTTTTTTATAAGTTTAATGTAAATTTATTGCCATGTTTTGGTCTTTATAATTTTGTCAAAAAATTCTAAAGTTACTAGGAATTTATTGGCAAAGATTTAAAGATAGACATATCTCCCATCAATTCATATATGCCTATTCTGAAAAGATTATATTCCAAAATACAGACAAAAAGTAAAATATACTCCACCTGTGCTTCCACACTTGCTAAACCAGTTCTCAATTCTTGTAATCCATCTTTCCAGCGTTGCTGCTGCCGAAGCAGATCAATATTCATAAGAATGACCACCTATTAAAAATTAGAACATAACAATCTTAGTGTATTGCTGGAAATACAGTAATTTTCATTAGAGAAAACTGACAGGTATCATTTTAACTAAGTGAACAAGTATAACTCAACCTGTAAGATATATCAAGACCTGCCGGATGTACCAAGTAGGCCAAAACATCACTTCTGGGGTATTTCTGCTGAAGTCCCATAAGAAAATATCATATAAGCCTAAATTGAAAGTCTACAAAACAATTGACCAGCACACTTTAGAAGTATCACGGTCATGAAAAACAAGAAAACACTGAAGAGCAAAAGACTACAGAGACTCAACTACCACATGCAAAGTAAGAAACTGGATTATATCCCAAAACAGAAAAAGGATTTTAGCGGAAAGAGTTGTCATATTAAAAAGCAGCCTCTTTCCTGGTTTGATACCTATGCTATGGTTTCGTAAGCTGCTGACATCAAGGGAGGTTGAATGAAGGGTAAATGTGATACTATTTTTGCACTTTAAGTTCCAAATTACTTTAAAGTAAGTTTTCTCTTAAATAATACCAGAACTACTTTTTAATAACCCCACTGATATCCTCCTTGATTTTATAAACAAAGTGTACCTTTTCACAAAAAGTAGTGTGCCATTTCCGCAGTTTTCTATTTTCAGTGGCAAGTCGTTCGGCAGCATTTTGGAGTTTTTGGATATAACCTTCCAGTTCTTTAGGATTATCCCAAGTAATCTGTGATTTTCCTCCGCTTCCTGCTTTTGAATTCTATGGTACAGTAAAAGACATGTAGTATTCGGACACAACTTTTTCCTAAAAGATTCCATTCTACATTATAATTCCCAATACAGACTACAATTTAAAAAAAGCACGTAATAATTTTCCATTTTATAATGCTAAGGTACTCTGGTAAAGGCTGAGTAGCTCTATTTCTTTCAGTTTCTCCCTCTTACTACTAAAACACCCTTGGCATAATGCAACAAGCACAGAAAGTCTAAAACGTATAATGAAAAGGTCAGACAGTCCAGAAACCTCCGGAATTAAGGAACAACATAGCTAGGTTTCCCACTGTCTACCATATATCCAGGACAGGATATTGGAGACGCCTCCAACATGGAACTGTTGAGAGGTACAGATCAAAAACACTCCAGAAAAGGCCTGCTGCCTCACCCAAAGGACTAGAAACGTATCAGCCTAACTATCAGAAACCTTTCTAGCAATCCCACCGTGTGACAGCCAGACTCCAGGGGAAAAGCTGCCTCTCTACAGTTTCGGCGGGACTAAGCAGAAGGCTGATCTTCCATCCTCCACTTGCACAAGCAGGCAGTGCTCCAATTTCCCCACCAAAGTGTGCTGGTAGAACTGAACAGAGAGAGCTTCCACCCCTCCTTCACAGCAACAGAGCAGGGTGAATCAGTCCTTTGCTCAACCTTCCTGGAACCGGTGAGGCCCACCCTTGAGCTGAGCTCACGCCCCTGTTTGAAGGCAGTGAGATAGAAGCTGATGCATCTCCTTTATAGGAAAGTATCTGAAGTGAAAAAAGCAGCACCAAAGTCCACTCGTCTGCAGTAAAGCAGTACAAACTGGTGTTCCACACTCATCAGGATGCTACTTGCATAATCCAGGGAAACACACACACACACACATCCACTCAGCCAGCATGCTATAGCTCAGCAGAATGACTGTTTCCTAAATTATGAGGATTAAATATTGTCCAGAATATCATGGCACAATGTCTAACATGATGAGGATGTATCTGAAAATCATCCATGACACTAAAAATTAGGAAATTCACAATTTGAATTGGATAAGGTAATCAACAGGGGCCAATATTAAAAGGAATCTAAAGTTGAAATTATCTAACAAAGATTTTAGGGCAGCCATTATAAAAACACCTTAATGAGCAATTACAATTTGTTTTGGGACTAATGAAAAACAAAAGAAATTTTCCAGAATAAGACAGAATATATAGTACTGAAAAATTTAGTAACAAATTGTTTAATTCCTAGATGGAGTCAACAGTAGAATGGATAAGTTAGGAAATCAGAATCAGAAATTATAAATCTCAGGATAACGCCATAGAATTTACCCAATATGAATAACACTGGGAACGTCAACCACAACAAAAAAGAACAGAATCTCTGGGTCTCTGAGAAAAAACAGCTAATACACAAGCTACTGACATCTTAAGAGTTGGAAACAGAAAAAAGCAATTGAAGTACACATTCCAAGAAACAGCAACTGAAAACATCCTAAATCTGGCAAAAGACATAAACTTACATATTTAAGACTCTGAGGAAGTGAATCCACCCCAAAAATACTTAAAGAACCCCGTGTCAAGCCACTTAATAATTAAACTCTGAAAACAAAAGACAAAACAATGTGAAATCTTGAAAGTAGCCAAAGACAAACAACGCATTGCTTGGAAAGATATACAAATTCAAATGATTTCTCAACTGAGACCATGGAGACCAGCAGAAGTGAAAAAACATTTATTCAGTGCTAAAAGAAAAGAACTGTCAAACATGAATTTGTATCTGGAAAAATATCCTTCAGGGGGAAATAAACTCATTTTCAAACAAAGAAAAACTAAGAGAATTTGTTACTAGCCTACCTACTTTTAAAGCATAGCTAGAGGGAATTCTCCACATTAGAAAGAAATGCTAACAAAAGAAGCTTGGAACTTCAAAAAGGCAAAAGAACATTGGGGTGAAGTGTGTGTATGGGTGTGTGCATGTGCGAGAGAGAGCTTAACATATACATATAATAAACTTGTTATGGTTTAAATCTAAAATGTCCCCAAATTCTCATGAGTTGGGAGGTGACCTGGACCACGAGTGCGCTATCCTCCGCAGAGGGTCAGTACATGGTGAGTACTGACTCGGCAGCTGAGTCTGCTGTTAGGAGGCAGGGCCTGTTGGCGGTAGCCGGGAGTGTGGCCTGGAAGGGTACACTGGAGGCCCCAGCTCCTCCCTTTCTTTCCGCTTTCTGGCCACCATAGGCTGAGCACCTTCTCCTCCACTGCGCCTCTCTGCCCCCGGGTGTGTCTCGCAGCCGCCTTTAAGTTGCAGAGGTCAGGTATGATGTCTTAGCAGATGCAACAGTGACTAAGACAGAACTACTCTCCTTCTCATGAGTTCCTTAAATCTCTTAATATTTCTGAAGAGACGTAACCTTATTTTGTGGAACTGTCTTACGAGAAGAAGTTGCATTTAGTATACATTAAGGGAGCTGCAACAGTGGATAAAAACCTGAGATGGGACTTAGCAGAATACTAAGGGTCTTTGTAACTCTTCAGCCACACACTGTATTATAGAATTCTGGAGGGCAGGAACTCAAATTTATACATGATTCCATCTTCAAAATATACATAGAAAAAAGTTTAAAAAGAAATACACCTGACTGTTCAAAACTGCCATGTAGAACTGCAGGTAGAATTGCAGGACTTTTAAAACTTTTCATTATAAACTAGTCTACTGCAGTATAAATCACATAACTTCTCATAAATTATAAGCTAGATTACTAATGTGCAGAAAAGAGTTAAGATATTATGTCTAGCCTCTGAAAAGGCTTCTTAAAAGATTAACCCTGAGCTGGCATCTAAAAAACTCAGTTTCTAAAAGGTCCTTGCCATCCATCTGATAAGAATTGCTCACTGTATCTAAATGTATGGTTTGTCTTTAAACTCTTACTTTCCATCTAAAACTTAAGAATTGGGGTAGATAGGAGACCAAAAATGCCCATTCCCTAATATAAAACTGAGCGTTGAGTCTCTAACCACCTTCCCTCTAAGACAGCATTTCACATGTACTACAAGGTATTGCTGAGAGAATTAAACAGGCCCTGTGTTAAGCTACATGAGAGGGTTCTTGGAAGCTTACAACCTGGTTTCTTAGGACTTAACCCCATGCATCTTCCTAACTTTGTTTTGTATCTGTTTACTGGATTCCAAGTCTTATGAATACAACTATACACTAAATTCTGTAAGTCTTCCTAGTGAGTAACAGAACAGAGCATGGTCGTGAGGTCCTCGAAACAACTAGTTGCCCACTTTCAAGTAAAAGAATAACAGGCTATGTTCCTCCTCTTATTTTAGTGTCTATGAAGACTAAAAATAGAAACACCAAAATGATAGTAATCACACAGCAAAATATAGTGTGAACATTACTCTGGGTTTTCCTAATTGCATATGTCAGGCCATTTAATAAGCACAGATAAAGAGCAAATACATCTTAGATAACAAAATGGGGAGCGGTAGGAAAGCACCAGTGAACCTTGTACAAAGACCTCAAAGATCACGGAAAAGTGAATATGATAGCATGTAAATGACATACCATCCATATTAATGCAATTAATCAAAATAAATACCAAAATATGTGAAATACTAAAATTATTTAAATCTACAGCTAGAAAACATTTTACTTGTTAAGAGTGAAGGAAGTCATCAGAGAGTAAAAGGAAGTCCTGCTCAGTGGTTCTGCTAAGGCGAAGGGTTACTGAAGAACCCAGAAATGAGAATCACTTCACAAGGACTGTTACTGGACAAGAGGCAGAGAACACAGATCCCAAGAAAGCCCGGAAGGGAGAGTAGGGGGCAATGAGTATGATGAAAGTATACGATACGCGTATCAGAAAATAACACGGACACCTAAGACTTTGTGACGTTAATGAGACTAACAAAAACAATTCACATCTATATAGACACAGTATTTTTAAAAAGAGTTGTTTCACATGTAAAATGTAATTATAAAAAGTCTTTACCTTAATTATCTGTTCAAACGCTAAAGCAGATTGTAACATCATTGGCCTCTGACTTTGAATCATTTGCTGATCAATAGAATTGTAAAAATGTGCCACCTACAAAGTAAAAGTCCAGTTAGCATTAATTGATAATAAATAACACATTCCATTTTTAAGTTTTCATTTTTCTTCATTTTTAATTGTTTGAACGGTAAACTTTTTCAATTTTTTTTTAAACTAAGAATTGAACTCAGGACCTAGCGCTTGCTAGGCAGGTGCTCTGCCACTGAGCTACATCGTCGGCCCAACTTTTTTCAATTCTAAGATTAAAAAAAAATAGTTTTCCATCTCAAATACTGGATTTCTTCATGAATTACTGAGTACAATGAACACACATACACTGAGTTCCTATAATGTGCCACGTCATATTTGGAGGCTCGTTAGACAAAGATAATAAAACCTAGTCCCTGGAATCGGATTCACAGCCTCATATGGAAGAAAGAAACCAAAAACAGCATGACAACTGCTAGACACCTGAATTCTTAGCTCCTGCATCTCTCGAAACCTGCTCTTTTTTTTCTATACATACCACAATGATTCAGCCATTTCCTAAAGCAAAAATTATTTGTCTTTAACTCTTCCCTCACATTTCCTATCAGCAAATACCTATTACCTATACTTTAAAAATACATATATACCTGTAATTTCAAAGATCTACCTTGAACTCAACCACTTCACAGCTCGCATCAATCTCACCCAATCCACACACCCTCATCTCTTCCTAAGAGAGTAACACCCGCTGCTCACTAGCATCCCTGCCTCCCACCATGGCCCTTACTCTACGAACCCAGAGTGGTATTTCTTACACATAGGTCACATCTCTTGCCTGTTCAAAATGCATGCCTTCCCAGTCCACTCGAGAATAAAATCTGAAGTCCAGAAACTCTCAGTAAGAGCCTTCCAGTGGTTCCCCAGTATACTAAACGCTGAATCCAAATACAAAACCCATGCCCTTACCCCGGCACATAAAGACTATTTACACTGTACCTTTGTCCCACCACAAACCTCTCCCTTACTGCACTGCAACCAAACTGACCTCCTTATTCTAAGCTACTGAGTGAGGCTCTCCTCAGGAAATTCGCATCTATTACTCCCTCTACCCGGAGTAGCCTTCCTCTAGATATCTGCGCAGTTCTCTTGCTTACCTCACATCATTTCTGTTCTCAAACATTACCTCTTCTTCAAGGCCTGCTGGGATCACTCTTTGTAAAATAGCAGGTTTTTAACCATCTCTTTACCATGTTTTATTTTTCTTCAAAGTACTTATCACTATCTAACGTATTATATCTATGTGTCTACTATCTTCTCTATTACTGGGATGATAGCCCTATAACAGTGTCAAACAGATAGCATACTCTAAATAAATGTTTACTGACTTAGTCCAAGAATTAATATATAAAAATACAGTTCGAGTGGAGGGGGGCAAAGGATATTGTCAACACAATGTTTTTTGACACTGGGGATAAAGAAAAAAAGGAGGGCCGGGGATGTAGCTCAGCGGCATGGTGATTGCCTGGCAAGCGTGAGGTTCTGAGTTTGATTCCTGCTTCCAAAAGAGAAGAAACTCAAAAAAAAGAAAAAAAGGATAGGTCATGTAAAAAGATAAAGTGGTACTCCGGGATGAGTCTGAGGACTTCAAAGGGATGATGTTTCTAATATTTGTATCCCCAGCACCTCAAAAATTCTTGGCACACAATATATGCTTATAAAATGAAGAATTGTATTGATTCTTCTTGTTTCCACTAACATGCATGAAGGAATACTTTATCTGGTGGAGAACAGCCATTTTACTTGCTCAGTACCACAAAAGTAGGCCCAGGCTGGGCACATAGCTCACTTGTAGAGCATGCACAAGACCCTGGGTTCGAGATTCAGTGCCAAAAAATAAAACAACACAAAAATAATAGGCAGAAGAAGCATCATCAGGACAACTTGAAGCAACAGAAAACATACTATTACCCCAATGTGGCCATACTGCTCTCTTCCCAGTATTCTACCTCATACTCTCTGCTCCAGTTATATATGTGTTCATAAATAAAGCTATAAATATGTAAACAGATTTTCCCAGTTGCTCTTTCAGGGTAAGTATAAAAACTATATGATCACTCCTTTACTTGTTGAGCCCCTATTGTGATACACTAAATACATAGGTTACAAAAGTAAGCAAACCTCTCTGCTTGAAATAATCACTCACCCCCTTGTGTAGCAGAGAGAATCTATCCACATTCTTCCAGAGGTACATCAAACATCAATCCTCTGAAATGAATTATGTGATACTACTTCTATGCCTTCCCTGGAAAAGTAGTGAAAACTCCCACCTCTATGCTCTCATAGGACTCTGACCATCACATAGCCCTTATAATACGTTAAATATTGCATCTTCTTGTTCACATACCTGCCCCACTATATAGATAATAATTAAATCAACATGGGCTCTGGAGTCCAAGAGACCTGGTGTCGAATCCTAGCTGCATAACTGGCTACGTGACGGTGGAAAAACTGTAACACATGTGGTTTGCAGTTAGATCGGTGGTAAAATGGAGGATTCACTGAAATACAGTAGCTCGCCCTTTCTCCACAGAGGATATATTTCAAGACCTACAGTGGATGCCTGAAGCTGCACACAGTGCTGAACCCCAAGTTTAACGCCTTTTCTATCCTAAGCGCTTATCACATACTGTGGGTGTGACTTTTGCAGTTTGACATGTGATTGCAAAACTAGCACAAATTTATTTTTTCTTCTGGTCAATTTCCAGGTAGAATATTCATTCTTAACACGCATACATATCAGCCTCAGCACACAATTGCTTTCTTTCCTTGTTCAGCTGGGACTTTTCCCTCTTAAAGGAACCATTTTACAGCTACTCTTTGGCATATCTGAATTAACAGCATCACTATTTTTGTGCTTTGGAACCACTATTAAATAAAATAAAAGTTACTTAAACACATGGCATACTGACAGCGATCAGATCTGATAACCAAAATGGCTCCCACAGGCTGGAGCACTCCCAGCGCAGACACACCGGGCAAAGGATGGAACGCATCCCAAACAGGAAGGAGTGGGCAGTGTGAGCCTTCATCGTGTTACTCGGAACGGTGTGCAATTTTAAATTATAAATTCCTTACTTCTGGAGTTTTCCACTTAATACTGTTAAACTCCAGTGGACCACAGGTAAATAAAACTATGGGGAAGTAAAACAGCAGATAACGGGAGAATATAGTAACACAAAACATCTACCACAGTTTATCCTTTCCCTCTAGACCAGTAGTTCTGAACTATAGCTGATTTATGCCCTAAGGGACATTTGGCAATGTCTTTTCTACAGATATTTTTCATGGTCAGTACCAGGCAGACACTACTGGAGTCTACGGAGAACAGACCAGGCATACTGCTAAACATTGTATACTGCAGAGGATATTCCCCTAGTGGGGTAAAAAAATTGTTCCAAACTATCAGAAGTGAAAGGGTAAGAATTGCTGTACCAAAGTATGAGTGCTATGCTTTCATTTTTATATCATTATACTGTATCTAGCAAAACTGGCCCTCAATCAATCTTTGTTAAATAAAAGAATGAAAAGCCAAATACACAAGATACTATTCCTGCCTGCCAACACATAACAAGTGATAGAAAAGTTGAGAAAAACATCCAGGGTGGGGGAAGTAGTTCAGTAGTACAGTCCCTGCCTAGCACATATGAGGTCCTGGATTCAATTCCCAGTGCAGTACTCAAAATAAAAGAATGTAACATGATAAGTTTTATAATGCTTTTTGCACTGCACACAGAATACGGAAGAATCAACTAAAGCAACACACAATAGAAAAAGTGACTCTGGGTTGGGAATTAAACAATGGCACTGAGTTTTCCAGTCAGAGAGAAAAAATACTACTGCATGGAGACATACTCAGAGAAAAGCCAGGTTTCACATTATCAAAGGATGGTGCCATAGTTTAGATCTTAAATGTCCCCCAACAACACTTGTGTTAAAAGTTTCATCTCTAAAAAAGAACTCATTGAGTGGTAGGCCCTTGAAGAGGTGGAGCCCAGTGAGAGGCCTTTAGTTCTCAGAGGTACTCCCTGGGGGAGAATTCTAGGACTTCTCAACCCCTCTTCTTTCTTTTTGCACTCTCTAGCCATGAGCTGAGTAGTTATGCGCCACCTCATGCTCCCGTCATGAAATGCTGCCTTGCCACAGGGCCAAATGCAAGGGAAAAATCAATCATGGGTTGGAACACTCAAAACTGTAAGCCAAAATAAATCTTTTCTCTATGTAAATTGATTATCTCTGTTATCTTCTAGTGACACAAAGCTATACACACAGGATACAATGTGAGGGGAAAGTATAGGCAGTGAAGGCCAAACAAGTAACGTTAATAAGAACACAACTAAGGAGGAGTCTCTATGCCAGGCTACGGAGGTTGTGAGACCTGAGAGCTGGTTTGAAACAGACATGATGTGCTGGCACTGTGCAAGCAGATCAAGGGCAGGACTAGAAGCAAAGGCCAACCCACTAACAAGAATTTCTAAAAACCTGCCTCACAGGCAGGCAGATCACTCTTCAACTAGAAAGTCCTTTAAAACTTTAGTAGGTAACACAAAAGAGGAAAAAAATAAAGTTCTACTTTCCCAAATGTTTCAGATTGAAAACCATCAGGAGAATACTTCAAATTAATAAACTACTATATAGTTTACAAGTAAATTTCATAATGTAGTCACTTAACAAACCGTAATTTCACAAGTTAACAATTCTGTTCTACCAGCCTAAAAAAACAGTAGGAAACGAAGTCCTTAACATTCTCTAGCTTAATGTAATGAATTCAGAATAGGCATACTTTGAAAAATATAATTTCATACTTGTTTAAGAATAATTGCTTGCTTGCAGAATTTCTGTGCGATGTTTGCAACTTGTTGTATTTTGGCAGGAATAACAAAGCCAAGAGCTGAGAGCTGACGGACTTCTCTGAGAAGAACCACCAGGCGATCAGAATAATGCACTTTTAACGACCCATCATTGGGATCCAACTCCATAATTCGACTATTAGCCTCAATACTACAAATAAAAAAAAAGAATAACCTTTTATTTCATAGTCTCACTCTTGAAGAATGAAAAATACAATAGTTTTTGTTTAAACTTTTCTGTAAATCTAATATTATTTTTTTTATTTTCTGCTTTTAAATCATATTTTTTCACATTACCTCACAATTAAGAATTTGGAAACAAACCATAATATCCAAAAGATATCATCACATTAATATTGAAATCAAGCATTTCTAAAGTCAGAAAAGTCGGGGCTGGGGATTTAGCTCAGGGGCACAGCACCTGCCTGGCAAGCACAAGGTCGTGAGTTCGATTCCCGGTACCAGAAAAAAAAAAAAAGAAAAGTCAACTAAGACTCAAAACTAAGCCATAAAGAAAAGATCTGGATTCATTTTCTAAAGACACTTTAGATTTTTTTAATTAACCTATTTGCTTCTTTAATACTTTCAGTAAAGTCAATGATTTATAAAAATCTAAATGGTAAGAATGCAGAAGTTCAAATGTTTCATTCTTCTACATTTGTTTCACTACCTGTGTATTATCTTTTCACTGTTCCTTTGAAGACATTAATAGCAAATATTATTTTGAGACATGCTAATAAGCATGGATCATGAAAAAGGTGAGCCAAATTAAGTATAAGGTATTGTGTTTTCACCTTCTTCCTTTTAGAAATAGTTTTATATAACATTTATTGTTTTGAATCATTTTGAAAAATTAAGAAAATGTGCTGTTTTACAAAGCAACCTACAGAAAAGCAAAAACAAACCTATTCAGTCTATGAACAGCAAAGAAACAAAGCATAGTACAAAACAGATACTTTCAAATGGCTTTAAGTAATAATTTAGTCCAAAGTCTGCTATATTCACATACAGCATGTCAGAAAACTGTAATAATGACTCTTTTTGCCTATACTCAGAAGTGACCTTCAAAATTAATTTGTGTATACCACTATTTCTCAAATTATGCTAAAAACACACACTGATGATTTTATGGGACAATAATAGGTTTTATGCCAAAATGAAAAGCAGAAGGAAGGCGGTTTATTGAAAAATGGGAAACACTAAGTTGAACAAAGTTAAACAGGCTTCTTTACAATAGATCTCAGCCCCTTGGCATGTTACCGTGTATAATGACCTCTCCTGGAGTCACAGTTATAAAGTATGCAAATATTCCAAAAGCAGATGACAACAGAACTAACGGTGGGGGTGGGAGGGAGGGGTGCTGGAACACCTCTCACGTTTGAGACCCAAAGTGGGCAGGAGGTAAGTTAACTGTCACAAAGTAATAATCAGTACATCTTAGAACCCTTTGGTTCTTCTATTCTTCCTCCAGAGCCAGAAAAGAAAAAATAAAAGTATTTGTTCACTTTAGTAAGTACCACTTTTGACCTAATTATCCTTTGTAGGGGTATGCGGGAAATAAATAGAACTTTACATTATGGACAAAGTTAGTTTCAAAAACCTGGTTGGCCATGATGGTGAACGCCTTTTGTCCTAAAACTACGGAGAAGCTAAGGTAGGAAGGGCAACGTGGGCAACACAGAGAGATCCTCTCTCTTCTAGGAAAAATAAAGGGACACAGTAGTGTAGTTCAGTGGTAGAGTGCATGATCAGAGCACCGGATTTGATCTTAGCACCACTGGGAGAAAAAAAAGCAGACATGGTACGTTTCTACATCTACAGACAGAAATAATGTTGGGGAAAGTGGGTCAGAGTTACAGAGCAAATGTAGTTTTTTACACTGTTAATTTTAAATTCCATTACAATAAATAGGTTAACCAACTAGGACGGTCAATAAAACTTAATATTTACCAAAAGCTTATTGTGTCAGGCACAATGAAAAAATACTACCTGTTCAAGGAGTTCAACATAATTTAGCGTGAAGTATCTGTTTGTGCAAAATACAGGTCAAACAACAGTAAAATATACAAACATTTCTAACAAAGAACCACGGAGAAAGAAAAGCCTACTTCCCAAACACAAATCTGCAATTCCAGGTAACAGAAAAGTAGGGAGGAGGCAAGCAGTCAACTTAACTACATCATTAAAATGTCCAACTTTAGCTGGGCATGGTGGCACACCCTGTAACTCTAGCACTTGGGAGCCTGAGGCAGGAGGATCATTGCGAGTTCAAGACCAGCCCGGGCCACAAAGTAAGCTCAAGACCAGCCTGAACTGCATAGCGAGACCCTGTCTCAAAAAAACAAAAAAAAAAAATTTCTAACTTTAATGACTTCAAAACTAAAGATCAGCTAACAAACAAAAAATATAGGAGTAGCAACAAGTTTGGAAAAAAGAGAAAGATCAATTATACCTTGAATATGGATTAGTAACATATGGTTTTGTATTTTACAGTTTAGTATATTTATACTTACCACAAACCTGATCTGGAATCAGACAAACCTGACTGAATATCCCTGGACCAATCATCAAATTGTTCCTGTTCGTATACTTTAAATTGGTCTAAGAGATCTTCAGCACTTCGATGGAAAGATCGAAATCCTGATAGGTCAGACAAAAGAGCCTCTGCAATCTTGATAGTATCATCCACCTTAGGAAGTCAAATTTAAAAGGTGTGAGTTACATTAACTTGAACAAAGTAAGCGTAAAATAAGGACCTCCTTTCTCTGATTTGTGATTCAGAATTATTCCCCCTTTCATCTATAAACAGTAGAACAGATACTTGAAAGAACATGAGATAAGAATGTCAGTAAGAATAAGAATACTAACCTCTACTTCTGAATTTCACACACCAGAAGAACAAAACACAAGAAAAGCAAGACAGGCATGATTTCAAGGGTAAAATAAGGGAAAGTAAAATCTCAAAATATTTGTCCCCCACTGATTTTCACAGAAAACCTCAAGAACTTCAACATTAATCCTAAAGATGGTCATCAGTAATTGTGGTCCTCAGCTAAATACTGTAACTAACAGCTCAAACAATAATTACACCAATTTGAATATCAAAAGAAAAAAGTGTATTTCTTCTGTAACTGTATATTGTAGAATACTGCAGCAATCTGGAAAGGTGGTTGATAGTATCAAGTAGAATATTCCAGTAAACAAAAAGTAGAAATTTGATTAGAACTGTCAAACACACTAGCTTTCATAGCACTAGAGAGTTATAAGGAGTCCTCTTATCCTTGATCACAGACCATAATTGTATGATTTAATGCAAGACACTATACCACTCACTAGAAGGTCAATAAGAGTCTTAGGTCAACTTTAGTATTAGAACGATAGCCTTTTAAATTTATAAATTGCTATTACCTTCTTAGACAATGCCCTATTACCTTCTACCTTTCCTTTAACTTCCTTTCAACCTAAAGTTGAATTCATTTAATGAAGTTTAGACTTAATTATATATATGTAATATATATATATTTGCAAATAAACTTTACAATTAAAGAGATTTTACAACTATGTTTTTAAATGTAGTATAAATAATATATTCTTCTTGCATAATTTTTAAGGCACTTTCCTGGAAAAAAATGCAACTGGAATGATAAATGACTTGAAAAGTATCTCTATATAAGCAATGAACAGAGCCATTAGAATTTTCTCCACAACATTTTATAGACTTCTAGATACCTCATGAAAATTAAATGGATATGCCAAGAAAAATACTGAATTTTAACTACAGTTTTAGTGGACCTACTAGAATTCTTCAACTTTTATTCAAACAAATACCTTCAATTCCAACTGGCGAACCCAAACGATATTATTGACAACTTCTGAAAGGTTTTTGCCAGAAAGTGGACCAGACGCATCACCAGGAATTCCTCGGCATCGATTCTCAAAATCTAATCGAAAATCTATGCAATGTAAATTTAAAAAAGGATTACCCAGAGTTAACAAGGGTTTCCTAAATGTAGTCCACGTACCAAACATTGTGTCAAATATTGCAGATAAAATAATGAGTTCATCCTTCCCCTCAAGGACCCTTGCTATGTATCAACCAAAACAGAGAAAGAAAATAACCCAATTCAAAAAATCTGTCACTCATAACAGACAGAAATTAATCCTCAGTACAAAAATGTCAGAATATATGATCTTAATCATAAATGACACACACAAAAAATTAATGTACAAAAATATTTTCCCAAACAAACACTAAACTCTAGTAAATTTTTACCTTTAACTGAGTCCACAAGTCTTGCCAGTAAGGTTTCTCTTTCTAACATCAATTCTTTGCTTATAGTTGGACGTTTCACCAGCTCTTTATATTTCAGGAATGCCTGAAGAAGCTAATATAAAATAAAATAAGTATATGTTCATCTCAATCAATTGACTTTGTACACATACACACACACACACAGATATACACACACTCACAGAGACAAACAGCTTAAGGATAACATTAAAAGTGAAATATTTCAATCTTTTACCTGTTGAGGACTGTCTTGAATTTCTGAGATATAATTTTTCAATTTTCCTGCTATTTTTTGTTCTGCAGGTGCAATAATTTTTTCATATTGAGACACTGCAGCTTTCCATAAAGGCTGAATAAATTAACAACATGGTTAGACTTCAATACTTTACAAATCTCTTTTTAAAAAAGAACAATGCAAACAGGAAATCATACAGACATAAATAAACACATAGATATTCTACCTCAGTATATGGATTATACTGCACAGGATTCAGGCCAGTAAAAGGTTCAAATACTCGAGACAGGCATACGATTTTCTCTTCACTGGCAGGTAAAAAATAGAGAAGTTTCTCATGAATTGTCCTAACAGCCAAGACCTAAAACACAAAATATTAAACATAGAGAATTTATTTAAATCAAAAAAAACTATGGAGTTAAGTCTAAAATCAAAAAATAGTAGGCAAGGGGCTGGGGATTTAGCTCAGCGGCAAAAGCGCCTGCCTGGCAAGCGCAAAGTCGTGAGTTCAGTTCTCGGTACCGGAGAAAAACCAAAAAAACAAAAACAAAAAAAAAAAAATAGTAGGCAAGAATGTCTTTAAACTGGGTTCTCTGTAATGAATGAAACAGAAACAATAATCCTGAGAATCAGTGCCCATCGGTACTCAAAGTCTCCTCATAGTAACATTAATCAGAGTACTTAACTCCAGCAAAAATGTGTAAGATTTGGATAGTTTTACATTTAAGGCTCAATTAAGCAAATGTTTTGTGTCTGCCCTAAATATAGCAACAATTGGCTTTCATTACTCTGCAATAAATTGCACCTCTAATAATGAAATCTATGTTAATGTCCCTACTGTTTATAATTTACAAACAGCTAAAAAAAACAAGTATTGTATTTTGAATTGAAATTTTTTGCTAACAGTCAAAAGGTAACCGAAAAGTTTAAGTACTAACAGTATAATCTTCTACTTCAGTTAGAAATATCAATAGAAACTCACGGGGTTTTTTCCCAAAAAAAAAAAAAAAAAAATCAACAATTCTATCAGTTTTCTCAACCAGGTTGCTACTGAATAGTATATCTCACCAAATGGAACCAGAATCCTTAGGTGAAAATGGTTAATTCCAGATACAGTACAGAAAAATGTCCCTTGAAGCTAAACATGTAAACTCTACACTGAAACTAGTAACTAATAACATAGAAATTATGCAAATATTTCAAATGTTTCAAATATTTCAAACATCCCCTAAAAAGAGGTCCAGACAAAAACAATTTCAAAATGTCTCAGAGCTTCCATCCATGAACAAGTGGATAGATTATCATTTTTACAACAAAAAAAATAAAATTTCACAACTAACACGTTTTACCAGTCACACACCCAACAATGAGAAAAGGAATAGGCCAGGCGTGGTGGCTCACACCTGTAATCCCAGCACTCAGGAGGCTGAGGCAGGAGGATCACTACAAGTTCAAGGCCAACCTAGACTACATAGTGAGTTTAAGGCCACCCTGAAGTGCACAGCAAGGCCCTGGCTCAAAAAAAAATGAAGAGGAAGGTAGTACTCAGTATGCACTAAGCACCTAGCACTATGCCAGATGAATGTCACAAATTATCTCACATAAATGTTAACTCCTGTTCTCTCCCAAAATTATGAATTATTTCTATCAGATGTATAATTATAGCTAATTATGAAATGCATTCACAAACAACTGAAGATCTCCTTCACACTTAGAAATAAAGACACAGATAATCAACCTGATACCTCTTCAAGGCGTTTGCCGAGTCTGTCAAGGGTTTCCGGGAAGTATTTTTCGTTTTTCCATGGATGAGGAACAAAGCGCTGCCACACCTGACCGGTCAGATGGTTACAGACCATCACCCACTGTTCACAGATTGAAATACCAGCTTTCAGATTCTCCTTCACAAGGTAGTAAGGGTCTTCCCATAGGTTCAACGTTCCCAGCTTCTTCTGAACAAACCTTCCAAATGACCCCCCTAATAAAACAGAAAGCAAAGGTCTTCATGGAAGGGTCTTTTCACAGACATAAAATATATATGCTGATAGTAAAAGGGAAATACAAATTACTAAACTAATAATGTATGAAATACTACATGCACACCCTCACAAAGTACTGCCAATAACAAATTTTTAAAACACAAACACACACACACACACACACACAAAGTCACATTTTGCATCTTTCAATATACTGTGTATATCTTGCAAGGATAAAAATATATATACAATTTTTTCAAGGCCACAGAGCATACTGTAGGGCAGTAGCGTTACGTAAATAATTCCCAAATGCCATGTGTCTGTACTTATATTACAAACATGCTACAATAAATAAATATACATAACCTTTTATGTACTTATCTGATATTCCTTAGGATAATGTTAAAAAGGGTATTTTTCTGGATCAAAAATTTAATACTGGCAGATAAACCAATACATTTTAGTAATTTTTCAGTTCACTTGAAAATATAATGTAAATATATACATACAACCAAAAAATTTACAAAAAATTAGTTCTACTAATGGTCAGAAACTCACATGTAATTTTAAATTAACCAAGACGATGCAAATACCTACATAAATCAATTATTACATTAAGGAAAGTTTTAAGTAAGAACCTGAAGGACAAAGGGAAACAAGACTAAGACCATCTCCCAAAATTCCAAAAGTGTCCATCTTTGCTAATACCTATGATATCTAAGAGATGCAGCATCCGTGACTCTGGATAATGATCATGTTCTGTCTGTCTCCACACGTCATCTACAACATCCCGAGTGGTCTCCACCAAGTCACCCACTTCCACTAAGGTCAGGCTATCCAAGTTATAGAACTCCTGAAATGAAAATGCATTAATGTTTAACACAATTATAACCATACCTTGAATAAAACAGTTAAAATGTTCCCAGATATTCCATCGCTACAACTCTAATATTTACCATATTATTTTCTTTCTTTTTCTACCAGATAACTATTTCCTTATGTAAATATCCTCCATAAACATAAATCTCATGATAGTCAGAGGAAAAAAATGATCATTATTTTAAAATATATTCATTTATTTATACCCTTAGCCTAATTTTCTTTAAATTCAGATTGATCTACTTATTTTCCCAGGACGGGTGGTCCTAAATCCACATATACATCACTCACTGTAGTTGACATTCATTAATCTATTGTGTTTCATTATGTTGTGGTTTTTTTTGTTGTTGTTGTTGTGGTTAATAAGAATACAACCATAGGACAAGGTTTCTTATTCTGTAGTTTGTCTCTGTTACCAAAAAAATCATTATAAATACATTACTAAAATTTTACTGAAACAATAGTGGAAACAAGTAGAAAATTACTCTATTTTCGTTTTGAAAAGTTTTTTTTATTTTACTTAAAATAACTCATTAATCTCTATGGGGATACATCAAAAAAAATCAAATAAGCATAGAAGATTTTATTCTTCAAAGCGCTAATTTGAGTAGAGTGAGCACTTCAAAAGAACACACTCTTTGTACATGGATAAACTGTCAGGATTAAGTTTTTATTTTTATATAAGCAGCTGCAAAAAAAGTAATTTTATTTTTGACAAAAAAGGATAAGCTTTCCTAGTATTTTGGACTTCTAAGTTTTACTCATTCTAAATACATATCCTAAGTAAACTTTGCTACAGATGAAGTATATATTTTGTTCTCAGCCAGCAAGTAGATTTTAAAACGATAAAAATACAGTGTAAAATGAACCCTAAAGAACTTTTATAAGAAGTCTGATATATAACTATGTACATACTCTTGCAATTGTTTCAAATAATTCTTTAAAATAACTGGCTCTTTCTTTATTAATCTGTTTATTTCCACGATGAGCTTGTTCTATCCAAAACTGGAACTCATCATTTGGTGTAAGAATACCTGTAAAAGTGAAAATTTTAAAAAGAATTACCAATAAAAAATGAAAGACTGGAAAGTTATTTATTTCATTTGACAATTTTAACCATGCGTGCATACGTGAATACTTCTTACACTCTGGAAGAGGTACATACACATGACTTTTACAAGAGCAAGCTATCAACAGTAAGCTCTTACTTACATTCCCTAATAGTAGAGCACTAAATTTATACTTCACATCACATTTTTTTGTTTGTTTTTTAAGTTTTCTTTGTTTTATTTTATTTTGAGACAGGGTGTCACTATGTAGTTCAGGCCAGCTTTGCACTCAGTATTTAGCCCAGGCTGGCCTCAAACTCGTGGCTATCCTCCTGCCTCAGCCTCCCGAGTGCTGGGATTATAGGTGTGTGCCACCATGCCCAGTTTTGGGGTTTGTTTTTAGGTTTTCTGAGACGGCACATTTGTTGAGTTTGTTAGTCGGTATGATTCCCATGTTTGTTTTATCCCATTCCTTCTAAACAGTCATTTTGCTTTGAGTGTCCAAGTTTGCATCTCCAACACCATGTTTTCCTAACCTAATTCCAATATCATTTATGCTCTTAAATTCCACCCAAATGGAAATAATTACAATTTCATCAATACGCTTTAATTTCTAAATATAAACAAATTAGTTTTAAGTTTTCTTATAAATTTCCCAATAAACTGGATATTTCTACTTACCTAATAATATGCTGGAAATAAACATGCTTTTCCTCTTGAGACTATGATCTTTCAGTATCTAGTTTATTTTTTAAGCAAAATCTAAAACTACAGCCAACATTTTAAAATAATTACTTATATGTTATACATTTCATTTATGTTTACATGAGTAATAATTTCCCTATAACTACAAGAAAATTATAATGACAGCTACAGAAAATTCATTGTAACATAAAAGTTAATGGCCTATCGTCTTTGCAAGGAGTACAATTAGTCTGTCCTTATTATTCACATCTTCACTATTAGAGCAGCAAGAAAATTTGAGTCACCTGATGTGTATGTTCCTAGCTGAGGTCAAACTAACACTGTACCTTCTTTCCTACATCTGTTTCGTATGTATTCAGTGCCACACTTTTTTACTTTCTGTTGATCTCACTGTTTCAAATGACCCTCAGGTGTAGTACTAAAATGCTATCTAGTCCTCCTAAGCACAAGAAAATTGAGTTGTTCCTTAAAGAAAAGACCAGGTCACAAAAGCTTCCTATTACAATGCTGATGGCCATGAAGACAATACATAATAATGAAAATTAATACATACTAATGAAATTATTAACTTATATTTGTACAATTTGTATAATCTCATTAATACATATTAATGAAAACAATACATATTAATGAAAGTTTAAACATAAACACACATAAAACAAGGTTATGCATTATCAGTCAAGGCCGGAGGCTTGACGGAAACTTACCTGTATTTCTCCTGGAAGCAACGGTTCGGATTTCAACAATTCAGTGTTCACAGTGATTTTACAGGACTTAACTAACATGAACAATGAAAATCAACTATACTTTCTATTGTACATTTTTAAAAATAATTTTTCTTTTCTCCAAATCCATATAAATCTATTCATTAAAAAAAAAAACCTTATGCTTGATGTTCCAGAAACAGAAAGAATTCTGTGCAGAAAGGTATTCACTTACTAACGTATTAATGAAATAATCATTTTATACTTCCTTTGATTAAGCTACAGATCATTATATCATAAAGCTGTTTTGATAAGTGATATATGGATATGAAACACTATATACTGTTATATACCTCTAGTGTCATCTTCCTTAAGCTTCAATTTTGATAAATTAGCATCTGATCTTCGTAGAACCACACCCAGCCCAGCTTCCAGGTCACTCAAAAGATTCTGAAGCTTGGGATCAAAGTTTCTACTCCATTCCTGATCCTAAATAAAAACACACAAGAGCAACCACTGATCAGAGCGTTACCAATCACGTCAGCTTTCAAAACACTGTCTAAAGAACTAAGTCCACATACCCCTGCTTTGCTTAAAGCCGCCACAACCTCTACTTCGTGAGGATAAAAAGTCCTCTCAACATTTGAAACTTTATAGAGATCATTTACTACAGCAGCGTAAGAACTGATGTGAACTGCACTGTACACCTTTCTCCAACTCCTCTACTTGTCAATAATGTTTACTTCAGAACTAGAAATTGAGAAATGTTGTATGGGGCCTAATTCAATCCCCAGCATCAAAAAAAAAAAATTCTGGGTGTGCCAGCCCACACCCATCATCCCAGCTACTGGGAAACTGCAAACAGAAAAATCAAGGAATAAATCAGCCTGGGTAACTTGGTGAGATTCTGTCTCAAAAACTAAAATAAAAGGGGTGAGGACTGTAATTCAGTGTGAAAGCTCTGGTTTCAATACACAGTAACAACAAAGAATGATATTTGAATACAAAAGTACAACACTAATTACATATGCATTTATGTAAATACTTATTCAAATACTTAGGTAAATATAAGTAAATATGCAGCTACTTACTCACCTTTAACAACATTGGTGCAAATACTTGCCGTACTGCTTGGTAAAGGGAATTAATAGGCGACTCTAGCATTGATGAAACAAGAATGTTATTATGTAGATTCTCATCGGTAATCACCTCCGGTCGCAACTTGAAAAACACCAGCACTTTGTCTTTGGTATCACCAAACTCAATCTAAAATGATAAATGATTTTTTAATGTTATTTTCATAAAATTTAATATTTAAAAAATGTGGCTCTAGGGGCTGGGGATTTAGCTCAGCGGCAAAGCGCCTGCCTGGCAAGCACAAGGTCGTGAGTTCAGTTCCTGGTACCGGAGAAAAACAAAAACAAAAAAAAAAAAATGTGGCTCTAAAATATTGTATGGTTGTAATTATACTTCCTGGGAAAATATAGTTATTTTTAGAATAAATATAGTAAAGCTAATGTACCTCTGCTCTTTAAGAATACCGGGGTTAAAAATGTATCCCTGGGGCTGGGGATTTAGCGCAGTGGCAAAGTACCCGCCTGGCAAGCACAAGGTCGTGAGTTCGGTTCCCGGTACCGGAGAAAAACCAAAAAAATTTAAAAATTAAAAAATAAAATAAAAATGTATCCCTGCTCCTATGTGATTATATCATAAAGCTATTTTAAAAAGTGATTTTTTTGAGCATTACATACTATATATTGTTGACATATACTACTATTCCATTTCAGTCTAACTCAGAAATACTAAATATCAAGGGTAGAAGCCTCAGGTACACTGTGATGAGCAGGGCACTTCTCCATGACCCCAAGAAAGTCTGTAACAAAGATGTTAATTACACTGCCATGTGGAAAGGGTATTTTAAAGGACACTTTTTAAAGTTTATATACATACACTGTAATATATTAATTACATAAATTTATATATATATATTCAATGCCAAAATGAACCTAAATTGTCTATCACCTAAAATTATCTTCACCTTAACCAAGTATTTTTCCATAGAGTTGGAACATCAAAATTTTATTAAATTGTCACATAATTTAAAACTGTAATCAGATGACCTCAACTGGAATTTACTAAGGTGATCTCATTTAAAATAGATCAGGTCTTAGTAATTAGTTCATTAGCCAAAAAATATATGTACTACTCAAAAAAAATTTTCCATTATGTATTACATTTTCATTAATTCTAATTTCTTCTTCCAGTCTATAAACTAACAAGTCTATAAACTAAAAAGTATTCAAACAAGGTTACTACTGTATGATACTTCATAGGTAAGTTTCATGTATTGCTTTTATCCTAATTATTTCCATTTTTATTAGTATATCTTAGTGATACACAGTGATTACACTGAGCTTAAGGGTTTGACATGTACACATATCACACCCTTATCATCCTTATTCCCCTTGCCCACCCTTTCCCCAGATCTCTTTCCCATCTCTATAGAGTCTACCTCCCTTTCTAACACAGCTCTTCTAATTCACGCTTTAAATTAATTACATTTTGGTTCTTTCATATTAGAGAAACCACATGATATTTAACCTTCTGTGACTGATTTCATCTAATCAAATGGTTTGAAGATCCATCCACTTTCCTACTGAATTATACCAATTTTTGCCACTGAGATGGACTTACTCTGTGTTGATAATATTTCTCATAACACATGAAAATTATATTAAATGCAAATATCAATCAATATCCATAAAGTTTTATTAGAACACAGCCATGCATTCATTTACATGGTTTATTACATAGTTTATTATATAATTGCTTTTACATTACAATGACACAGTTGTAGTTGCTACAAAACCCTCTGGCCTGCAAAGCCTAAAATATTATCTTGCCCATTATGGGACGCTTGCTAAGCCTAGTCCTAAAGTATAAAACAGGCTGCATCTTTGTTTTGATTAAGATTACCACTGGCTTCCTATTTCAATCTAAATGATACCCAAGGTCCTCCATGGTTAGCATGTACCTTACTCTCCCACCTAATATTCCACACTGCCCTGCACACATTAAACCTCAGCAATCCCCTGGATTTTGTTCCTGCCTTAAAACCAAGCTGAGGCCCAGCTCAGGAGTTAGATACCTAACGTTTCTTTGCCTTCTAACACTCTTCACCCAGATCATATCTCAGCCTACAACTCATCATTTAAGTATCACTTCAAAAGTCACTATTCCAGAGTGGTATTCCCCTCTACCCTACTTTAATTGCAGTCCCCACTGCTGTAATATTCTTTTTTTTCTTAATATCACTCACCAACGCTAAAAATTATGTTACATTACGTCTTTGTGTTAAGCCTATCTATGCACGTTCCAGTGTTCCTCCTTGCAGATGCAGGCTCTAATGTGTTCATGACTTAATCCCTAGTACCTAGGACAGTTTCAGAGCCATAGTATGTACCTAATAAATATACGTTGACTAACATTAAATCATGCTGATTTTTCCCATATTCCCACCGCACTGTATCTGAACTTTAAGTGACATTTACAACAGTCTGATCTAATCTTACAATTTGTTGAGTATGTGTCAACAAATCACTGGAGCGAAGCTCTAGAAGGCAGAAGCAGAGGACCCTATTCTGAATGACAGCATTACAGAGGTGGGCAGGTATCACTCAGGATGTAACATGTATGCCTTGCCTTCCTTAGCCATAAAATGGGGAGTAAAAATAGTTTCTATCTCATAGCGTTGGGGATATTAAGCACATTAGTGCACATAAAGTGCTCAGAACAACCTGTGACAGAAGTAAAGTGAAAATAAATGTTAGTTATAGTCTATCCTTTTATATCTTTGTAAACCCAACAGGTTAGGCATTGTCTTGCACTTATATTGGGTCCAAATTAAATACGTATGAATAGAACTGAAAAGATTCATAACGAATGGGGTGAATTTCAATCATGCTACCAGAACACCCCTGAATGTGCAAACACTGCTAGCCCTCGAGACATGAGTGAATACAAGAGGAAGAGGTCCAACGTGTCTATAATTTGTCCATTTTCAACTATTTCCTGTCCCTTTTAGCATGGCAGGCAGTTTTACTGTACGGCTTACTTTAAAATTAACATGTACTGTACATGAGTCCCGACGGAAAACGTAACATTTTAAAACAATCCTGCCACAGTAAGCGAATCAATAAATCACGTTGCACATCGAACGCGAACTCAAACTTTATTTTGGAATATATCAAATCATTTCCTTACGACTTGAATTCCTAACTAATTTCTCTCTCAGGCAGTACTAAAACTGGTGCATAACCCCAAAAAGATACACTGGAATTTGCTTCCAAAGGGAACAGTTATAAGGAGGAGAAAAATTAAATGTTTTCCATCTAGTCTATAAAACATCTCTGGTCTTCTTTTAAAAATTGGAAGAGTTGCGCCCGTGCACACCTGCAGTCCCAACTACCCGGTAAGCTGAGGCGGGGTAACTCAGGCACAGGAATTCGAGGCCAACCTGGGCGACTTTGTGAGACTCTATTTTATTTTAAAAAAAAAAAAAAAAGTTGGTACTCATAAGTACAAAGAAATTGCAGGTGGATGGGACGCAAGCTTGGAAAACACGCTAAAGCGGCAAGGGCGACACTTGGGAGGCGGAGACCACCCCGGGCTCCCGAGGTCGAGGATGTTCAGGGGTCGGGCAGCCCTCCGGCGGCGCGGGGAGACCGAGGCGGGTCGCGCAGGGGTGCGGCGAGGTTAAGGCGGGTCGAGGAGCGATGCAAGGAACCCTACCGTGTTGGAAAAGTACAGTCCGGCGTCGGATCGCTGCACCCTGAGCAGCATCTGGTTCCCATCGTCCAAGAAGTTGTTGATTTCAAGGCAGTTGTGCAGCAGCGGCTGGTCCCAGGCTTCCGGCCCCAGTCCGAAGTAATTCTGGGTGGTGGTGAAGATGAAGAGCTTCCGAACGTCCCCGGTCCCGCCCGCCATGATTGCGGAGAGACGGAGAGGAAAAGGGGGGATGGGGAGCCGGGAAAAGAACAAGGTTGCAGTCGCGAAGGAAGCGAAGGTAAGACGGCACGGCTCTGCTCTAACTCCTAGCAGGCCCGCAGGGCCGCAGAGCTTCGCGGTTGCCAAGGGCGATCGCTATGGCAACAGAGCGCTACTTCGGCGCGCGGCGGACTGCGTTGTATTGCGCGTGCGCACGCAAAGCTCAGCTGCGATCGATCACCTCGGAGCTCTTTAGCTGATTCCCGCGATCATCGATTGTAAAAGATTTGAGCAAGTTTATATTGACCAAAAAATCTCTTATTCTTCTTACTGATGTTTTATGATGCATAATCAGAAGGGATAGTCATCAAGGGCCAAACCTGGATTTATAAGCACTGTAGGATTTTAGCACTTCCTCTCCATCTGCACTACCCCTTAGCAAACCACCGCCAGCACCAAGGTTACCTATCTGTAGAATGGAGAAATGCAACTTCACAACAAAGGCTATAACGAGGATTTTAAGAGACTCCTATTGAAAAATTGCTTTTTAGAGAGGCTAGTAAAAAAGTTCAAAACAGTGTTAGTTTGCTTTTGTAATTCCTCTCTTTTCTGTGCCGGTTAATTTCTCATTTTTGTTTTTTTAAATGTTAATTTCAGAAAAAAATACACAATCATTACACAAACACATCCATATATGTAAAACAGTCAAAATATACAATGATAGTTGTTAGTTTAATAGCAAGGACAAATACTGAAAGCAGAAATAAAGGCAAGCTTCATCATTTTCCTCCCCTTGGCATCATCGGTTGTAACCAATGACACTACTAGTCGTTTATTCCAGTAAGCATTATAGACTATGCAAATTCAATAATTCTCTTCCAAAAGCAGTTGCTACTTACTACTACATGCTAAGGACTGAATCAGGAACTAGGAACACAGTATCTCCCCTTCACAGAATTTGGGTCTAGTCATTCATCACCTCAGAGCTGATTTGACCAAATATGCACAGAGTTTTTTAATTTGTACTCAATAATCAAAACTTTCTCCTAAAACTATATTCTCTTAGAATTAGAAGAGTGTCTCTTTTATCTGATGAATATCTTAAAGTTCAGTAGTGGGAACAAAAGGAAGCTGAACTGTTTTCAATTATCAAGACAAGTAAAGTAAACCTCTCATGAAATATCCAGGAGGTGGGATATGGGAGTCTGGCCACTGGGTGGGGAAAAGTGCAGTGAGATGAGATGCTACATAGTGGTAGTACAGGCAGCCAATTTAGGTAAATATCAGAGATCAGAGAAGGACTGGTCCTTGAGAAAGTCAGTGCAAAAGATGAGACCCACCGAGACTGTGGCTGGAGGTGAATCTGAAGAGGGCCGGCATCGAGATGGTCAGGCCTGCAAGTCTCTTCTAGAGGTAAACAGCACCTGCAGATTATGCTATAATTTGCACCATGTGGTCCAGCGAGCCAAAAAGGCACCAGATGCACAGGTCTGTAACCCGAATATTTGGGCCCAGATTCCCATCCCTTTCCAAGAATGCTTTTGTTCTTGCTTGCTTGCTACATGCCTCATTTCCCTACTGGGTCAATATTAGCTAAGCAACCATCCTTGTAATCGTATACATTGGTTGTAGTTTGACCACACTGTGATTTTGTACCCACATTGTGATTTTTCTGTATAAAATACTCTTAACAAAGAGTCTCAGAAGCCACCCACTCAGGACCCCTCCTGGAAATCAGAAACTGTTCTTATTTCCTATAAAACTCTCCTAAGCTTCTCCCTTGGTTCATGAACTCATTCCTTGATGTTGTGAAACTCAACACATCTGACATGTAACAGGTTGAGAGTTATTTTCCCCATTGGGAATTATTTCCCCATCACACTGATGAGAAAAAGAAAAGGTAGACAGATAGACAGACAGGGGGCTGGGGATTTAGCTCAGCGGCAAAGCGCCTGCCTGGCAAGTGCAAGGTCGTGAGTTC